CCATGTCACTCGAAAAGCAAGCTGCTCTAGCTGCCTTGCCACAACAAGCTTCAGGGAGCCGAACCAAGATGTAAAGAAAACATGCTCGCGGAGCCCGCGGAATCAGTTTTGACAAAAGACATGCCCGCGGAAGCAACGATTCGCGCCTCAGAGTGTCGGCCGAAGGTTGAATGATGTCATTTGAAAAGTCTCAGGATAAAAACCATGGCTTATTTGTCCGTCGGTTCCTTGTCTATTGGTGGATCCATCCACTCCGCTCCCCCCGCCCTCAAAACCGGAGCAGTTGCAGGTTCAGCATTTGCAGCAGGTGCTGAGCCAACAGGCGCGATGCCGTTCCGAAACGGGCGGAGAAATTGTTTGGGTCGGTCCAAGTGGTTGCAATTTGAGGGTTTCTGAAAAACATGTTGTAGCCAGTATGCAGTTGTGGTTGCAGCGCCCCTCATGTTGAATGCGATGTGCCCCCCACCACCTGAATTTGTGAAAGGGGGTTACGAGGTGCGCTTTACGGTGTACCTCGCTGGCAACCCAGGGTTTCTAGGGCAGCCCCTTTGCTCAACCCACCTGTTGGACCAGTCCCTCCGACCGAGCGCTGGGACTGGCCATCATCTATGGTAATTTGCACTGCCTTCCTCAACGAAAGACCGCTGCCAGTAGCTGTGCCAAATGGTCATGGGGCCTTTGCACTTGGTGCCAACGGGCGATGTGTCCTAGTGTAAGCCCCAGCATTGAATGCAGCACTTGGAGTACCTATGGTCTCATGGGCCAGAACTATGGAGCACCAGCTCCTCATCCAAGACCGGGATCTATGTCAAGGCTTGCAGGCAGATGGGCGCACCAAAGTTTGAGGCCGTTCTTTTCCACTAGTCACATTCAAGCAGTCTGCTCTTGGTCCTACCTAGTGCTGCGCATTCTGTACCTCTGAGAAATTTCATTTACGGCGCCAATTTTCCTTTTGAGGGAAGACTGCCATGGAATGGGGGGGCAACTTTTCTGATGCCACAAGATATGAGTTGCACCCTGGGATGGGATGGCTATGGGAATATGCCGACATGAACGTAGCCGATCCCCAAAGCTGAGGGGTCCGCTGAGGCAAAGAGCCACGGAGAGGTCCAAACACACTCACGTAGGTGGTCTCTCTGCAAAAGGAGCCCCATTGAAAATGGGACGTTGGATCAATTTACATGGAACGCGATCGATTGGATGTGATGAGTTCCAATCACGGGTGCTCAGGCAATGCAAAGCAGGGTCGTCCGAACATCTATGGGATGACACAACTTAGCCAGTTTGACTGTTTCTTGGGGTGGAAATGTTTGGCTGAGAGAATCGGTTTCCGTGATCCTCCTGGTGACTAGCCAGTAAGAGGACCGATGGTTTTGGCAGTGGGAGTGACCCTCGCCGTTTGCTTCCTATGGTTGAACCCCCCCCAGCGAAGCATGCCTGTCACACGGACCTGCAATCTGACTAAAGGTAAAAAGGCCACAAGGCGAGCCTTGTTTCCTTCACCCTTTGTCGTTTTGATTTGGCGGTTTTGCTTTCTGATGGGCGCGAGGCCCTGGACTTTGGCAGTTCCATACGGCCCCTTACTTGCCTGGAAGGCTGGCCAGAAGCAGTTCCGGGACCACGGGAGTCAAGCGGCCCGTTTACGGTTGGTAACATGCTTGCCCCCCCGCCTGTAACGCAAATCAGGGACCTCCAATCAAGGCAAGCCACCACCCTTAAGAGACTCTGAGTACATATGTGGATTAGTTTCATCACCTTGTCTGAGATTAAAGCAGTTTGCCCGACATGATATGCAGAAGCTGCACCGAGAATTGGTTGGCACTGTCCCATGACAGACTAATTAATTTGTCCCCAACAGCATCTGGTGCAACCATATCCTTCAACCATATCCTTGCCTCTTGAGGCTTTGAGTTACCCACAAGCGCCCCAAGGGAAGGGGAGGGTCATGGTACTACGTACCATGCACCCAGAGAATGAACTAGTTCGTGACTCAACAGATGGAAGTCCACATTGGTTAGCTCATCTAGATAATTGAATTGAGAATTGCGAATCTGGTGAGAATTTGATGTGGTTGGACACTTGTGCGGAGGATTGGGACGAACGGACAGCTATTTGCTTTTGTTGGCTGCACAGTTTTTCTGCATATGGGGGTTGATCAATAGTCCTGGCCCCCAAACGACCATGGGTAAAGGTTCCCACTCAGCGGGACGTATCATCTTTTTAGTGGTTTTCCCAATGGTCATCCCATGTAGAGGACCTTTTGATCAACCCCGATATTGAAATCCGATTCGTGTTGCCTTTGGCCGACGCAGGGTAAAGTCCTACATGTCTTTTGAAAGTTACTGGGCACGTTTTTGAGAGTGACATGCAAGATATAAGATGGATGGGATCGCAGGTGAGTGGTACAGTTGCTGCTAGGAGCGTTTCTGGAAAACTTCCCACGGGCGCATAGCAGCGCTGCTAGGTTTCTCACTCACTGGGACTGGCGCCAAGTGTGGATGAGCTGGACGAACCACTGCCACCACTTTTCGTTTGAGCTGGTGACAAATTCCCTGACCTCCCCTCCAAGCTTCCGTACTGGGTCGCGTTGGTACAGATGCGTTTAATTATGGTTAGTGTTGCCGTTGCTATGATCACGCTTGCATGGTGTTTGCTGCCATGTTCCCCTGAACCTGCCCAGATTTGGTGCCCTTTTCCCTGGCGTCTGCAGTTAAGTGGGCCCGCAGAAGGAGTTCCACCCCGTGGCTATGAACTTTAAGGGGGAATACTGACACAATTGTTTGGTAGGTGTAAATCGCCATGTCAACGATTCTTTAAAGGATGTCTGCCCAAAAGCGTTCAACTTTATTCCCAGGTGAGGCCAACCGTTGCCCCATGTATGAGTTTGGAAGGCGCATCCTAGTCTCTGGGAGCTGTAGCGTGGGCTCCGTTGTTTCTTAGGCTTTTTCAACAATGGAACGAGACTGCAGCCCCCGAAAAGAACACATGAATCAACCGGATATTGCCGTGTTCTCCACGCCTTGCAGGTGATCAGCCCCTGAAGGACAGGGGCTGTCCTAAATTCAAGGGCCCCTGTCAAATCGCCGGGGAAACTGAAAGGACATCGATCGCCATTTGTGGATCCCTATTTGCCCGATCGATGATCAGCGTAATGGAGCCGCTTGAACAGATCAAGATTGCAGTGCTTGTAATGGACATGTAGAGCAACCAACATGAAAGTTACCATCGCCGATGCGTCGAAGAAACCAACAGGAAATTCTACAGGAAGTAGCCAAAAGCCAGATGTTTGGCGGGTACTTTATGTGATTAGCCTTGGTTTAAATCATCATCTGGGAAGTCGCGGTAGTGACTGACCGGTGGTGTTTTGGCTCAAGTTTATGGGTTCCGTCGCGCCTCGGATGGGCGTCGCCGAACCCCTGCGTCGACCGACGGCTTCTCGGGGGAGAAAGAGACCTCGGGCCGCCGTCAGGTTGGTAGGGACCATTCGTGCGGCCTGTCGTCGATCAAGGTTGCGGGTTAACTCTTTTCTCTTTTGGTTGTTGTTCTCTGGTGTGTGGGAAACCCTGATCTTTGGGACCGGGGATTGGTTTGCTTTTGGGGAACCTTTCTTTTGTGGCTTGTTTACCCCAACTTACCCATTGCCTGGGCACAGGCTCGTGCCCGAATCACAGGTTACCAGCCGTAGGACTTTCCTACGCGCTTGAGACCGTCAACTACAAGCTCTACGACGTCAACCCCACGCTCACGGAGGAGTGTCGTGGATGAGGAGGCTATCCTAGGTGGTCTCCGATCAGGTGAGGACTTGCCGGACTACGACTACGAGGAATTTGAGGCAGGTTCAGCAGGTCAGCGTCGCAGGGGTGATGATCCCGAAAGGGACACACCCCGCAGCCGTGGCAGGTACACTGACGATGGAGACGACCGCATTTTCCGTCAGGCCACCGATGATGAGCAAGGACGAGGAGCTCGCCCCGATAGGGGCGGCTCCGAATCAGGTTTCGATCAAGGACATTTGGACTTCATCAGCATGGCGATGAACATGGCTCGCCCTCATACGGACGACCTGGGTCGGTCTCCCAGATCTCTTTTCCAGGTGAATCACAGGCCCCGGAAAGAGTTGAGGACAAGGGACCATGGTCTTGGCTCCGAGAGATATCTCGGGCCGATCAACTGGGTCTCAAAATCCAGGCCAGTTTGATGAGCACGAGGAGAGGGTATTTGCAGGCATCGGATACGATGCCCTGTTATCGTCAACCGCGGGATGGGGCGGTAGCGTGAAGCCTGAGTCTGATACTGATAGGCCCAACCCGGTTCCTACGACTCCGTTTGAATTCGAAAATGATGAAGATTATGTCGCATTTGCGGATGCTCGTGAGAAGGAAGAGAGTTTATCTTACCGGAAGCTGCGAGGGCCAGGGGCCTCACTCGTGGTGCTGCGAGGGACATTCGCGAGGACAGGGACACCCGGAGTGAGAGAGAACGGATCAGAGAGAGTCGGGACACCCTTAGGGGTTTGGAGGCCATCCATGAAGGAAGAGGACCGATAGGTCCTCCCGGGATTGAGCCTGTCCCAAATGTTCCCCCTTTTCCCTATATAACTTTTGGAGGACCGCTGCGTCAAAGAGTCGAGGACACAAACCGGAGTACTGGTTCGCCCAGGATGACTGAGCGGGCCGCTAACGTGGTTGAAGCAGGTGCAAGGGACGGAAGACTTGCAAGTGCACTAGAGATCGAGGATCGTCCGTCAATCGCTAGCCCGTTAGGACAAGATCTCGGCGACCTCGAGCCACTGAGGTCAAGTACTGTAATGAATTCACTCCTCAGTGCGGATCGGCCAGCAGGGAACGGAGTGCTTCTGCAAAGAGGCCGTCACCCTTAGCCGGAGGGACCGATAGGTCGGCCAGCGACCGATAGGTTCAACGCCACAGGATGAGGACATGTTTGATCCTGCTGATGTTCATATTCACTCCACACCTGAGTCCCATGGGTCGAATGTTAATCCCACATCCGGCAATAGCCGGGGAAGGGGCGTCAGTCCAAGTAGGCCGCTCAGGATCACTGATGATCCTCAGGTGAGTTCCATGCGCAGGGAGTGGCATGATGAGAGCCAGCAGATGAAGGACAGGGTTAGTCGCTTAGCCGCCGAGGTTGAGACCCAAGCGGATGCTGACCGAATGCGATTGATAGTTCAACGGTTTGCCGGTGAGATCGTTCCCGATAGAGAGCGAGATCATAGATCAGAGGATCAACTCACTCTCCAATGAAGTTCGGGATTCCGTTAGGAACGTAGAAAGTGGAATGGGTCAGCTTCGTCAAGTGGTTCAGGATAAGCATCTCGCTATCTTTAGAAGCCAAGGTGCCTTTGAGGACCAGACCAACACTGAGGTTGAAAAGTTAGAAAAGCGACTCTTTTCGGTAGAGAAGGCCGTTAGGCTGCCTCCGTCTTCTGATGCTCCGGCTGCATCGGGGCCCGATAGGGCCACTAGCAGCGGGACTGACGTGAGTTTCAGGGATTTAACCGCAAGAGTCGGGGGTTACCACGTTGTCGATAGACGTAGGGACCCAGATGCCCCTCAGGATTGGCGCGAGGCGATCGAAGAGATTAACCGGAAAGTTCAGGATCTTACTCGTAGAGTCTATCGCCAAGGTCGGGATCATGATGCCACTGTTGAGAAGGTCGAGACCGCGAACGCCCGTATCGCTGCATTCGATGAGAATGCGCAAAGGCTTCAGCAGGCTGCGCAGGCTATAAGAACTCAGCTTGTTAATCTTCCTTCAGGCACGGAGCAGACGCAGGCCGTCGTTAGACGGGAGCTCGTCTTTTATCGCAACATGTTGGACGCGACCATGCGGAGGCTTGGCGTCGTCGAAAACAACATCCGCGCCCTGAATGAATGAATGCCCGAGTTGTGGGGCAGCTTGCCGAGCTTGAGGGACATGTCGATGACGCGGCCGATATGATTCAGGTAGCTCAGCAGAATCCTCGTGGACCCCAAGGCAGACCAAACGTCGGGTACGACGCTTTCGCCGGACAAGGACACAGGATTAGGTCTCCGACGCCTACCCCTGGAGATAGAAAAGCTCAGAATCCTGTCCCGTCGGCCAGGCCAGGCGGGGGCGTTAGCCTAACTGATCATGCGGGGGCCGTCCGCAAATGCTAGTCTTCAGTTTATGTATTCGGGTAACTTGTTACTTGTGCGCGATTGGTAAAACCTGCATCGCGAAAGGCCGGCGATTGTGACTGCGATTGGGGTAACATCTACATGTTTGGGTGACCCCTCATTGGAAGCGCAAAACATGTTGTTACATCAACGGTTGGTTCATATTTGCAGACCCCGCTCCCCTGTAGACAGGGAGATGCGCAGCACCTTGTCGGCGACATGTCTGACACTCACACAAGCTTGCAGTGGACTTGTGGTAGACACCTTGCCTCAGCCCCTCAGCTAGGCAGTGTAACGGCCATACCAGTCTCACCAGGAAAGTCGGTGAAATTCGCGAGCCCGCGATTGTACGGCGATTGACCGGCGATTGACGAGCCCGTCAGTGCTCATGGCGCTGCTGGTGTTGCTGCTCCTGGCACTGCTGCTGGTGCTGGTGCTGGTGCTGGTGCTGCTGCTGCTGCTGCTGCTGCTGCTGCTGCTGCTGCTGCTGCTGCTGCTTCTGCTTGTGAGATGGGAAGAAGTTACCAAGTTTGCTCCGCGATTGGCCCTGCTGTGGTCGCGATTGGAGCGCGAAAGGCCGGCGATTGGAGGGTTTCCGGGAAAAGTAATATTGGATAACCCCCATGTTTTCGGGGACAGTAGGAGAGCCAACGCGAGTGATCAACCCCAGGTCAACAGGGGTTCAAGCTTGCCAAGCATGCCCAGTAGGGTTGAAGCTGGTTCTCATGCAAGCAGGCGTCCTGTCTCTCCCATTAGGGAGAGGGAGGATAGCCGGAGCAGAAGGGCTCTGCAGATGCAGGATAGATCTTACTCTCCGCCGAGGCGTACGAGGGATGATCCACTGGCGCGTGCCAGGGCTAATAGTTCAATTTCCCCGAACAGGGATGAAGGTAGGAACAGGAGTCCGAGGGCTGCCGATAGGGAGCCTGAGGTTAGGAGTCGGGAACCGAGAAACAAGAGACCAATTCGCGATAGCGGAGGTGCCCCTCGAAATCCCAATCGCCAACAAAGGGACGCCCAAGGCAACAGGGCCCGAGGTGACGTTCCGAGTCCTGGCGACAGCCGAAGGAACCCAGCTATGAGCGGTGCGCCAGATGGCGACGGACCTGATCTCTCGAGCAGATGTGCTCAGGACAACCCAAATGATCGAAGACACCCAAATGCGAGTTTCGCTTGTGCTACGTGCGAGTGTGAATTCTGCCAACTGTGTAAGGGTGACGATGGGGACTGTTGGAATTGCCAGCTCTTGAAAACGAAGTGCTGGGCCTGTCGCAAGAATGCTCAGGAGATATCCATGTATTCTTGTTCTGACTGCGGCAGGCCTGAGAAGTCCACCCCAGCGTCGGCCAGAGCGGGCTGCCAGCCCGCGGGGCGGCGTCCGCGGCGGGTCATCTCGGGGTAGAAGAAGGAGCCAGAGCAGCTTGTGGCCTTTGACCGCTGCCACCAGGTGAGCCCTTCGACGACGCACCACATGAAGCAGCGGTGGTCCTCGTTCTGAGGGTTCCAGATGGCCTTCTTCTTGGCCAGGGTCTCGGGCAGCTCCTTCCAGCAGCCTCCCGCCTCGTTGGGCGGCGGGGGCGCGGGCATGTCGGCCAGCTGCTGCGAGGGCGCGGTCAGCAGATACGCTGCCGTGATGCCCACGACGGTCCAGTCGGACTCGGGGAAGCGGGAGCGCTCGAGCGCCACCTCGAACTTCGTCCTGATGGCCGCCATCATGGTTCCGGCGCGGGCCGACGGAGACGCGGGCCTCACGATCCACGGCGCCAGCCTGAGGAAGTAGAGCGTGAGCTCCACCCTGTCCTCGTCCTCATCGTTCGCAGCCGGGCGCGTCAGCAGGATCTGGAAGCTGACCTTGGCGAGGAAGGGCAGCCGAATTGCCAGC